ACTAAAATATTATACTAATTAATCCCTATCTGTTTATGGATTATGTCTTCTTAGTTCATAATAAACAATTTATCTATAAAATACTTTTCTCCGCAGTCTTTAGTTTTTGAGTTATGAGCGTCTATTATAGCGAAAAACATCAATTTTGATTTTTCGAGGATTACCATTTTCTAACTGGAATATAGAGATATGCGAGTTAGGTTTTGTTGTGAATTCTATTTTATCACATTATTATAAACAATTTATATGCACAATATTTTTCTCTATCCCTTTTAATTTTTAAATTATGACCTTCATTAATAACGAAAATCAACATCTTTGGTATTATTGCCATTTACATTTTCTAACTAAAATATTATACTAATTAATCCCTATCTGTTTATGGATTATGTCTTCTTAGTTCATAATAAACAATTTATCTATAAAATAGTTTTCTCTGCAGTCTTTAGTTTTTGAGTTATGACCGTCCATTGTAGCGAAAAACATCAATTCTGATATTTTGAGAATTACCATTTTCTAACTGGAATATAGAGATATGTGAGTTAGGTCTTGTTGTGAATTCTGTTTTATCACATTATTATAAACAATTTATATATACAATATTTTTCTCTAGCTCTTTTAATTTTTAAATTATGACCTTCATTAGTAACGAAAATCAACATCTTTGGTATTATTGTGATTTACATTTTCTAACTAAAATAATATACTAATTAATCCCTATCTGTTTATGGATTATGTCTTCTTGGTTCATAATAAACAATTTATCTATAAAATACTTTTTCCCACAGTCTTTAGTTTTTGAGTTATGACCGTCCATTATAGCGAAAAACATCAATTCTGATATTTCGAGGATTACCATTTTCTAACTGGAATATAGAGATATGTGAGTTAGATCTTGTTGTGAATTCTGTTTTATCATATTATTATAAACAATTTATATACACAATATTTTTCTCTATCCCTTTTAATTTTTAAATTATGACCTTCATTAGTAACGAAAATCAACATCTTTGGTATTATTGTCATTTACACTTTCTAACTAAAATATTATACTAATTAATCCCTATCTGTTTATGGATTATGTCTTCTTGGTTCATAATAAACAATTTATCTATAAAATACTTTTCTCCGCAGTCTTTAGTTTTTGAGTTATGACCGTCCATTATAGCGAAAAACATAAATTCTGATATTTCGAGGATTAGCATTTTCTAATTGGATTATAGAGATATGTGTGTTAAATCTAGTTGTGAATTCTGTTTTATTACATTATTATAAACAATTTATATACACAATATTTTTCTCTATCCCTTTTAATTTTTAAATTATAACCTTCATTAGTAACGAAAATCAACATCTTTGGTATTATTGTCATTTACACTTTCTAACTAAAATATTATACTAATTAATCCCTATCTGTTTATGGATTATGTCTTCTTAGTTCATAATAAACAATTTATCTATAAAATACTTTTCTCTGCAGTCTTTAGTTTTCGAGTTATGAGCGTCTATTATAGCGAAAAACATCAATTTTGATTTTTCGAGGATTACCATTTTCTAACTGAAATATAGAGATATGTCAGTTAGATCTTGTTGTCAATTGTGTTTTATCACATTATTATAAACAATTTATATACACAATATTTTTCTCTATCTCTTTTAATTTTTAAATTATGACCTTCATTAGTAACGAAAATCAACATCTTTGGTATTATTGTCATTTACACTTTCTAACTAAAATATTATACTAATTAATCCCTATCTGTTTATGGATTATGTCTTCTTGGTTCGTAATAAACAATTTATCTATAAAATACTTTTCTCCACAGCCTTTAGTTTTTGAGTTATGACCGTCCATTATAGCGAAAAGCATAAATTCTGATATTTCGATGATTACCATTTTCTAACTGGATTATAGAGATATGTGAGTTAAATCTAGTTGTGAATTCTGTTTTATTACATTATTATAAACAATTTATATACACAATATTTTTCTCTATCCCTTTTAATTTTTAAATTATGACCTTCATTAGTAACGAAAATCAACATCTTTGGTATTATTGTCATTTACACTTTCTAACTAAAATATTATACTAATTAATCCCTATCTGTTTATGGATTATGTCTTCTTGGTTCGTAATAAACAATTTATCTATAAAATACTTTTCTCCACAGCCTTTAGTTTTTGAGTTATGACCGTCCATTATAGCGAAAAGCATAAATTCTGATATTTCGATGATTACCATTTTCTAACTGGATTATAGAGATATGTGAGTTAAATCTAGTTGTGAATTCTGTTTTATTACATTATTATAAACAATTTATATACACAATATTTTTCTCTATCCCTTTTAATTTTTAAATTATGACCTTCATTAGTAACGAAAATCAACATCTTTGGTATTATTGTCATTTACACTTTCTAACTAAAATATTATACTAATTAATCCCTATCTGTTTATGGATTATGTCTTCTTGGTTCGTAATAAACAATTTATCTATAAAATACTTTTCTCCACAGCCTTTAGTTTTTGAGTTATGACCGTCCATTATAGCGAAAAGCATAAATTCTGATATTTCGATGATTACCATTTTCTAACTGGATTATAGAGATATGTGAGTTAAATCTAGTTGTGAATTCTGTTTTATTACATTATTATAAACAATTTATATACACAATATTTTTCTCTATCCCTTTTAATTTTTAAATTATGACCTTCATTAGTAACGAAAATCAACATCTTTGGTATTATTGTCATTTACACTTTCTAACTAAAATATTATACTAATTAATCCCTATCTGTTTATGGATTATGTCTTCTTGGTTCATAATAAACAATTTATCTATAAAATACTTTTCTCCGCAGTCTTTAGTTTTTGAGTTATGACCGTCCATTATAGCGAAAAGCATAAATTCTGATATTTCGAGGATTACCATTTTTTAACTGGAATATAGAGATATGTGAGTTAGATCTTGTTGTGAATTCTGTTTTATCACATTATTATAAACAATTTATATACACAATATTTTTCTCTATCTCTTTTAATTTTTAAATTATGACCTTCATTAGTAACGAAAATCAACATCTTTGGTATTATTGTCATTTACACTTTCTAACTAAAATATTATACTAATTAATCCCTATCTGTTTATGGATTATGTCTTCTTGATTCATAATAAACAATTTATCTATAAAATACTTTTCTCTGCAGTTTTTAGTTTTTGAGTTATGACCGTCCATAATTGCAAAAAACACAAATTCCGATATTTCGAGGATTACCATTTTCTAACTGGAATACAGAGGTATGTGAGTTAGATCTTGTTATGAATTCTGTTTCATCACATTATTATAAACAATTTATATACACAATATTTTTCTCTATCCCTTTCAATTTTTAAATTATGACCTTCATTAGTAACAAAAATCAATATATTTGGTATTATTGTCATTTACACTTTCTAACTAAAATAATATACTAATTAATCCCTATCTGTTTATGGATTACGTCTTCTTGGTTCATAATAAACAATTTATCTATAAAATACTTTTTCCCACAGTCTTTAGTTTTTGAGTTATGACCGTCCATTATAGCGAAAAACATCAATTCTGATATTTCGAGGATTACCATTTTCTAACTGGAATATAGAAATATGTGAGTTAGATCTTGTTGTGAATTCTGTTTTATCATATTTTTATAAACAATTTATATATACAATATTTTTCTCTATCCCTTTTAATTTTTAAATTATGACCTTCATTAGTAGCAAAAATCAACATCTTTGGTATTATTGTCATTTACGCCTTCTAACTAAAATATTATACTAATTAATCCCTATCTGTTTATGGATTATGTCTTCTTGATACATAATAAACAATTTATCTATAAAATACTTTTCTCCGCAGTCTTTAATTTTTGAGTTATGACCATCCATAATTGCAAAAAACATCAATTCTGATATTTCGAGGATTACCATTTTCTAACTGGAATATAGAGATATGTTAGTTAGATCTTGTTGTGAATTCTGTTTTATCATATTGTTATAAACAATTTATATACACAATATTTTTCTCTATCCCTTTTAATTTTTAAATTATGACCTTCATTAGTAACAAACATCTTTGATTTACACCTTGTTGATGTCACCCAATTGATGTTTTGTAATCATGGTAGTTAGACATCTATTTAAATCAATCTTGGACAAGAAATAAACAGATGGAGCTAGATGTTTATCTACCTGTCACTTTGATTTTCAATAATATCAAAGAATTATCAAGAAAATCTAGCACTTCCTAAATATATGAAACGTTTCTAAGAAAGTCTAAGGTTTTTTGTAAGGATCCCCATATTTTAAATCCTCTAAATATGATTTCCAGCACAACGGCCCAAAATGACCTTGGCCAAACTAATAGTGGGGGAACTAGGACTTCACGGAGATCACCAAAACTGATTAAAACATGCGATATTTTTTTTACAAGAAATTTCATCACACATTTCGAAAATTTTCGTAACAAGTTGGTGCTCAACCCAATCTATAATGTAAATTAAGAGTGTTGTATTAATTCTTGTTAATACACAAGAATAGTGTAATAATTATGTGTAATTATGAGTAATTAAGGAATATTAAGTGAGCTAATTTAATGATGGCAATTTAGATTTGAAAAAAGAAATGCTTAAGAGAAGTTTTCAGAATTGATTGGGAAGGCAAAAAATGTCTAATAATGAAGGGAAAATGAAATGATTTTTATTACGGTAATTTCGGTGACTATAAATCGGGGCAGAAACCGATGCCGCTTGCATACGTGTCGAGTAAACTAATAAAAAGCTCCACACACCGACGCGAATAAATAAATAAATACCGTTTCGCTCGCGGAATAACAAACAAAACCGGGAACGTTAAATAACAAATATTCGGGCTGGTTAAGCTATAATTTTTTTTATCACCCGGTTTAAATTAAATTTAAATAAAAAATTTTATTATAAATATTTCCTTTTAATTCCAGGGCATCATCCGATAAAAAAAAATTACACGTTAAACGACCGATGAACGCGTTTATGGTTTGGGCGCAAGCCGCAAGAAGAAAATTGGCGGATCAACATCCTCAACTGCACAACGCGGAGTTATCGAAAACGTTAGGACGACTTTGGAGGTAAATACAAAATTCATTCATGATTTAGAATCGACGTAAATTATCTTTTCTCTTTTAATATTATTATGAATTAAGCGCAACGTCAAAAACGATAAACATAAAACGGAAGAGTCATAAGTCGTACGTTGACTCTAAAACGACGGCTGAACCTACAATATTTTTACTTGAGACCTCTCATCTTGACCTTTTATAAAAGTTGATAACACCACGGCTGTGAGTTTTCTCTTCTTCGTATGGGATAACGACAGGAAATTCATCATTAATTTTTATTTTTTCGTTACAAAAATTTTTCGAGAAAACATTTTTTTTTTTATTTCAAAAGAATTCACCGACATAAATAAACACAGATTGCATCATTACTGAAATAATACCAACTAATTGGAACGAGTTGCACTAATCGTAACATATGTCTCTCTTGGACCCGATCTTTAAACTAGATAAATACCTAAAGATACTTTGAGTTAATAAATTTTAATTAATAAATGTATTCATAAAAAAAATTTTTTTTATTCAAGAATTAACCGAGTTAGGATTAAAAATTAAAACCGGAAGTGAATAAAACAACTAATTTTTTTAAAAATAGATAGAAAATTGAAAATCCTTTAAAATGAGTCCAAACACGATGGGGTTATCTTAAAAAACAACGGAGATATAACAAAAAGTTTAAATAAAAACAATCGACGATCGTTATTATAAAATCAATCGTATCTTCGTCATTTTTAAAGATAACCTAGTCGTGTTTGGACTCATTTTAAAGGCTTTTTAACGAGGATTACGAATTTTTAATAAATTAAACCAAAAACGATCGTCATACTAAAAAGTTTGTATTTTCTTTATTTTTAAAAGTAAATGTATTAGTTAAATGTATTATTTCGGGTTCATTATAAACGATTTTTACTCAGTATAACACTTTTTTTAAATTAATACATTTTTTATTTATAATTTTTAGTGGAAATAAAATATCTTAAGATACAATCAATTAATTTTGCAATTTTAACTAGAAAATCTGATAGAAAATTGAAAATCCTTTAAAATGAGTCCAAACACGATGGGTTTATCCCAAAAAACAACGGAGATATAACAAAAAATTTAAATAAAAACAATCGACGATCGTTATTATAAAAACAATCGTATCTTCGTCATTTTTAAAGATAACCTAGTCGTGTTTGGACTCATTTTAAAGGATTTTTAACGAGGATTACGAATTTTTAATAAATTAAACCAAAAACGATCGTCATACTAAAAAGTTTGTGTTTTGTTTATTTTTAAAAGTAAATATATTATTTAAATGTATTATTTCGGGTTTATTATAAACGATTTTTACTCAGTATAACACTTTTTTAAAATTAATACATTTTTTATTTATATTTTTCGTGGAAATAAAATATCTTAAGATACAATCAATTAATTTTTTATTTTTAACTAAAAAAACTGATAGAAAATTGAAAATCCTTCAAAATGAGTCCAAACACGATGGTATTATCTTAAAAAACAACGGAGATATAACAAAAAGTTTAAATAAAAACAATCGACGATCGCTATTATAAAAACAATCGTATCTTCGTCATTTTTAAAGATAACCTAGTCGTGTTTGGACTCATTTTAAAGGATTTTTAACAAGGATTACGAATTTTTAATAAATTAAACCAAAAACGATCGTCATACTAAAAAGTTTGTATTTTGTTTATTTTTAAAAGTAAATATATTATTTAAATGTATAATTTCGGGTTTATTATAAACGATTTTTACTCAGTATAACACTTTTTTTAAATTAATACATTTTTTATTTATAATTTTTCGTGGAAATAAAATATCTTAAGATACAATCAATTAATTTTACATTTTTAACTAAAAAATCTGATAGAAAATTGAAAATCCTTTAAAATGAGTCCAAACACGATGGGTATTATCTTAAAAAACAACGGAGATATAACAAAAAGTTTAAATTTATTATAAAAACAATCGTATCTTCGTCATTTTTAAAGATAACCAAGTCGTGTTTGGACTCATTTTAAAGGTTTTTTAACGAGGATTACGAATTTTTAATAAATTAAACCAAAAATGATCGTCATACTAACAAGTGTGTATTTTGTTTATTTTTAAAAGTAAATGTATTTGTTAAATGTATTATTTCGGGTTCATTATAAACGATTTTTACGCAGTATAACACTTTTTTTAAATTAATACATTTTTTTTTATACTTTTCGTGGAAATAAAATATTTTAAGATACAATCAATTAATTTTACATTTTTAACTAAAAAATCTGATAGAAAATTGAAAATCCTTTAAAATGAGTCCAAACACGATGGGTTTATCCCAAAAAACAACGGAGATATAACAAAAAATTTAAATAAAAACAATCGACGATCGTTATTATAAAAACAATCGTATCTTCGTCATTTTTAAAGGTAATCTAGTCGTGTTTGGACTCATTTTAAAGGATTTTTGATTTTCTTTTCGAATTTTCTCACCAATTTTAATTTACTCTTTTTGTTTTGTAAAAAGGCGCCTTAATAATAATTGTTTACTTCTGGAAAGTCGTTTTATAAGTTGATAAACGAAAATAAGTTGTTGATAAACTTTCTCAGTCACATTGCTGTCACTTCCTGGGCTTATCTCTTTTAAAATGAAGTAGACGGTTGATTATAATTTATACATCGTGGATAATAATATTTATTTACGATCGTAATTGCCCGATTTTTATTCTTATCTCGTCCTCTTCGGTCATCACATCATTAGGGTCGATCGTGCGCGCAGCTTTATTTCAAAGCGAGATGCTGTGTAATGTACCCAGTTGGGGGTTCTTCATGGATTTAAACGCGAGATCCCGTTTTGTAGCGATAACATCGAAAAATAAAGACGTGGCCCAAGTTTGACGTATCATTAAATTTCGCAATATCATAAAATTTAATTAATTAAATTCAATGAAAAAATGTTATTTTTGATTAAAATAAATCTAGATAAATGTAATAATAATACCTGTATATCGGGTATTATCTACATCTATTTAGTAGCCCGAAGAAAATCGAGATTCGAATCGAATCGAATTGAAAAATGAAAAATTTAATTATCGGGTTGAGTTTGCAAAAGTTTAAAATTAATTATACAATCGCGTGCGCCCACATTTGGTGTAAGCAACGCTCCGAGCAAATAAACACGACGAGGTGAAGTGCGTCGCCGCCGACGGTCCTCTTCGTTATATGCGATTCGCAATCTGCAACGATCAACGATTATTTATCTTTGAAAGCCGTAGGTTTTCGCTTACTTGGTCGCTTCGTCTTCAAACGTTCCACTACACTTTGTGATTACAACCACTTTTTTGCTTACATCAGCAATTTGTAAAGTGCATCAGAGAAAGAATGACATAAACAAATTGAAACTTGACACTTTGTTATAAACAATCTTAAAAAAAAATTGTTTGCGTTGAACGAAATAATACAAGAAATTATTAATATAATTCAATTTTAAAAAATCGACTATAATGTAATTTTCAAAATAAAACTTTGAGATGTACATGAAAATAACGGTGAAACATGTATCTTTAAGATGACGTGTAGGAAATTTTATTGTTTATCTCGAAACGGCTTTAAAACATTTAAATAGTCCATTATAGCGAGAACATCAATTCTGATATTTGGAGGATTACCATTTTTTAACTGGAATATAGAGATATGTGAGTTAGATCTCGTTGTGAATTTTGTTTTATTACATTGTTATAAACAATTTATATAGACAATATTTTTCCCTATCCCTTTTAATTTTTAAATTGTGACCTTCATTAGTAACGAAAATCAACATCTTTGGCATTATTATCATTTACACATTCTAACTAAAATATTACACTAATTAATCAATACCTGTTTATGGATTATGTCTTCTTGGTTCGTAATAAACAATTTATCTATAAAATATTTTTCTCCACAGCTTTTAGTTTTTGAGTTATGACCATCCATTATAGCAAAAAGCATAAATTCTGATATTTCGATGTTACCATTTTTTAACTGGAATATAGAGATATGTGAGTTAGATCTCTTTGTGAATTTTGTTTTATTACATTATTATAAACAATTTATATACACAAAATTTTTCTCTATCTCTTTTAATTTTTAAATTCTGACCGCATTAGTAACGAAAATCAACAACTTTGATATTATTCTCATTTACACGTTCTAACTAAAATATTATACTAATTAATTGCTATCTGTTTATGGATTACGTCTTCTTGGTTCATAATAAACAATTTATATACAAAATACTTTTCTCCGCAGTCTTTAGTTTCTGAGTTATGACCATCCATGATAGCGAAAAACATCACTTCTGATATGTCGAGAATAACCATTTTCTAACTGAAATATAGAGATATGTTAGATCTTGTTGCGAATTTTGTTTTATTACATTATTATAAACAATTTATATACACAATATTTTTCTCTACCCCTTTTAATTTTTAAATTATGACTTTCATTAGTAACGAAAATCAACAACTTTGATTATTATTGTCATATACACTTTCTAACTAAAATATTATACTAACTAATCCCTATCTGTTTATGGATTATGTCTTCTTGGTTCATAATGAACAATTTATCTATAAAATACTTTTCTCCGCAGTCTTTAGTTTTTGAGTTATGACCATCCATGATAGCGAAAAACATCACTTCTGATATGTCGAGAATTACCATTTTCTAACTGAAATATAGAGATATGTGAGTTAGATCTTGTTGTGAATTTTGTTTTATTACATTATTATAAACAATTTATATACACTATATTTTTCTCTATCCTTTTTAATTTTTAAATTATGACCTTCATTAGTAACGAAAATCAACAACTTTGTTATTATTGTCATCTACACTTTCTAACTAAAACATTATGCTAATTAATCCCTATCTGTTTATGGATTATGTCTTCTTGGTTCGTAATAAACAATTTATCTATAAAATACTTTTCTCCCAGCCTTTAGTTTTTGAGTTATGACCGTCCATTATAGCGAAAAGCATAAATTCTGATATTTCGAGGATTACCATTTTGTAACTGGAACATAGAGATATGTGAGTTAGATCTTGTTGTGAATTCTGTTTTATCACATTATTATAAACAATTTATATACACAATATTTTTCTCTATCCTTTTAATTTTTAAATTATGACCTTCATTAGTAGCAAAAATCAACATCTTTGGTATTATTGTCATTTACACTTTCTAACTAAAATATTATAGTAATTAATCCCTATCTGTTTATGGATTATGTCTTCTAGGTTCATAATAAACAATTTATCTATAAAATACTTTTCTCCGCTGTCTTTAGTTTTTGAG